CTCTTTGCTGGACTCCGAGAAATTCTTCACCATCCTCTCCTGTACCATAGCAGAACTTGGACATCCACCACTGATACCACTATTCTTGAGCATTATCTGGATATTGTACCTCTGTATCACTACTGAAACAAGCACATTGTAACAACTTAAAGTCTTCTATCACATGTTATTGCCCTTCTTCTAATAGACTATAAAGCTGCTTCTACAGCCTTAAAACAGACTGGTTTACAACTAGTGTATGGATGTCTATAATAGATATTATTACATAAGATACAAGATGTGTGACTGATAGAACACCAATTGCTCAAATTGAGGCCTGAGTATACTGAAGTCAACATGTAAAGTCCAAGTTGTGGCCCAAGTACCCCAAGTACCCCAAGTATATAGACTTGGGTCAAGTCTGTGTACTTGGGACCAAGTACATGGACTTGGGGCCAAGTACACGGACTTGAGGCCAAGTACATAGACTTGGGGCCAAGTACACGGACTTGAGTCCAAGTACACGGACTTGAGGCCAAGTACACGGACTTGAGTCCAAGTACATGAACTTGGGCCCAAGTATGGGTCCAAGTCCGTGACGTTTTCCTGATGGGGCTGCGGCGATCTCCAAGTTTGTGATGTCGAGGAGGGTGATTGGGTTAGTGCGACCGATGCGGCGCTGAGCCTGGAGTGCTTCTCCTGAAAGCGGTGGAGGTTGTTGGGCAAATGGTTTGACAAACACAGACCCGGTGGTCCCTGAGTCGAAATGCGACTGGTTCTGCAAACGCATAGAAAATACCTTGAAAGCGAAGTTGACGTTGTCGTAAGCCAGCCACCATCGGAAACGGTGAACGGCTAGGCGTAGAGCGTCCATGGCACTTGCCGAGATGCGTGAGTACGCACAGACACTCCAGCTGTGGCTCATGGTGATCCCAAGAGCATGAAGGAGGTCGAGCGCCTTCGCAGACGTCCCCTTAGCCTTGAGGAAGACCGTGAGAGGCTTGGTCCAAGCCGACAGATTGCGAGAGCGCAGGTATTGCAGCTGGGAGATCATCATGACTGTTGCCTGACACAACATTTCAATTCAATGCAAAACACAACAATGTAGATACAAGGCATACGGAAACAGCATCTTTGTGGGATTTACCCTGTGACGCACGACAGAAACACCGTGTCGCACCATGGATAAGCCACCACACGCTCGGAGCGCCCAAAACCTTGTCCTGCAACCTCTCCGCAACTTCCGAGAACCGGAATCGAGTCAGGCCTTCCTCCGAAAGGCAATCGGAGGGGGAACGGAAGAGATGCGAGCTAGCCTCAAGCTCGCGATCCACCATCTCCTCTGCACAACCTAGTGCAAACTCCTCGAGAGCTTCCCTGGCGCCCTGGGGCCGTACGTGGTGATGCCGCGAGGCGGATGCGCGAGGAACCTTGTACCAGCGCTCCAGAATGCGGGGAAGCTCCTCACTGCCCATAAGGGCGGTCCGCTCGTACTGAACCTTGGGGTCTGCAATGCAGGCATCGTCTCCCCAGCTAAGCGCATCTAAAAAAAGAGGCAGATTCATGTCAACTGATTCCATATATGCCAGAATATACTTGACGCGATCGAGAACGCTGGTGCGCGTGCGGGACACTGAGAACGCGAGGCGCTCGCGCATGATCCTGGTGTTGTGGAGGTAAATCGGCGGGATCAGGTTCTCGGGGGCAGCTTCGACCGGATCCCAGTCGGAGGCGTCCGACAGCCGGTCGCTGCCACACTCGGAGGGAGTGTAGTCCTCGTCCTCGTCGTCCTCGTCGAAAAGAGCTCCCCACCCGTTGTGGAGCTCTTCGGGTTCTTCTTCCGGTGCGCGAGGGTCCATAAGCGCCCACGTAGGAATTTAATGCGTATTATCTATATAAGAAACAGGCGGATTGAGTATGGGGACATGTAGTGGCTGCTTGCAGTTCCATAGAGACGTACCGGTTACGGGAGTGTCGACAAGGAGCAGAGGAGGCTCAGTGCAGCTCGAAGATGGCGGGAGATAAGCAAGCAAGCGCGCACGCAAGGAGAGCTCGGAGACGTCGGGAGAGAGCCAAGGATGTCACAGAGGTCACCGAGCGGGGAGTCACGGGGGTAAAGCCACCAGACGTTCAGGAGCTCGGATGCCCCCGGTTTTTCGCATCCGATTCAAGCTCCGAACGTCTGGTCACGAGACTAGCTTAGACCAAGACAACGATGTTATATTGGACAGCGGTATCTCCTTCCTCTGTATCGCTTGTCGGCGCCGCACCCCAATGCCTCAGGTGTCGGCCGCGCGGTTCATCATTGAGGTGTGTGGCTCCTGTCAACCCTCTACCTCGCAGTCGCGTATTCCGATCCTATGACTTTCGTAGACAAGCCAACACCAAAGTCCTCTCAGGACGTTCTAGCCACGTTTGTAGCGATTTTCAACACGACTGCTACGGAAGGCGCCGAAGTAAATCTCGACACCAACTTCCGCAGAGAGGGGGCTTGAACTCGAGCCCGTCGCGCTTTCGAACTCCGCAGACCATCCCGCGTTCTTGAACAACGTTCCGATCCCCTTGTTAGGCCATTCTCGCCGACCGTTCATGACTACTCGACGCAGCTTACTCGGAAGACGAAACGGACTGTGCTCTGCTCGGAGGGCACCGAAACTGGACCATGCGAGAACACTCTCATTGCCCTCAACCATCCCTTCGTCGTTCCTGATGGTCGCTTCCGCGAGCAATGTGCGTGGTTCTACCATGACAACTGTTGTGGTTCATTTGTTTATTTGAAGACAGGGGCTTCATCAAGTCCGAGCTCTTCGATACAATTAAGAACACGCTCGAAAACTTCATGGGCGAGATCCAGAACTTTGGCTTCGTTTCCAACGGTAGCCGCATCTACTGTGCGTACCGCATGGCCGCACGCACCACTCACGTACTAACCTCGCGGCAGACCTTAACCACTCTCAGCCGCCCTTGTTCATTCACGTAAGAGCGCGCTGGACTTCAACTTCACGGCCAACGCACGGAGCTCGATCTATTCCGCCGCGACGTTCTGCCCGCCAGGACTCCGAATGGGATCATCCCAGACGAGCTGCTCTCGTCCTCTCAGAACGCATTTGGGTTCGTCGCGGCGCTCAACATGGTCCTCAACCGTACCAACGGTACCTTCCCTGTCAGATTTAACTAGACCGGCTTGCAATGGTAAGTCTCGTCGCGTCCATCATGTGATTGCGTATGGTGACTTGCGCATGCAGTATAGGGATGTCCCCCAACGTGTGGCCCCTACCATGTGGCCCCTACACCAGTACATCGCGCTCGAGGCCCTCCCCGCGCTCCCTTCAACTATCACAAGCAACCCGCTCCCGACTCCCAACATACCCAGTCTACGCTCGACCTCATTCCATCAGGCCAGATTGGCGTCTCCGAGGACGCGCTTCTTGCGCAGGCTATCGCCCCTGGAAAGAATGCTAGCTCGTCGGGCCCATCTGCCGATGTCAGCAAGCTTGACGGCACGGTAGTCGGAGGGGGTAACAAGACCGACGGCGAGGGATGGGCGGCGACTCTCCGGAGAGAGCTGGCAAATTGCTACGTCGCTAGCGCGCTATGCAGCTGGAACGCGACGGGCGGAGAGACCCAGACTGTCAAATCAGGAGTTGACCGTGACGCAGAGTTTCAACACCGGTTACGAGAAGCTCTCCTTTTCGGACATCGATTCCACGGGCCGTGGTGGCGAGTACACCGTCCAGGCGGGCTTCGGCCGGACGAACGGCGCAATCCTCTGGGTTGCGAGCATCTTCAACGACAAGCTTGCCGCACTGAAATGCCCTGATGTCCTCCAGAGCGCTGCGGCAACGTCGGGCCCAACCTCTACTGGTAGAAGCGGAAGTAACGCCGCGTCGAGCGCGCGCGCTCCTGCTGCCTTCGTCGCCGCCTTCGCACTGTTTGCTGCGTTGGCGATGCTTTGAGGCACTCAGTGCCTCGCTTGATGATCGAAGGCGAGCATGACCCGCTTAGTTGAATGGCATCGACTCGCGATTAGTGGCCAGTTGAGGACAAAGGTTGGCGGGAGCTGAAGAAAACTGGACGATTCTGTCTGTTGATACTCTCTACGTACCTTCACCTTGTGAACTAATGGGATTATGTCCGTCCAACGTGATTCCCCACTTCTTGGGATAATGCAGCATAGTTGTTCACAGTTGTATCACGCTCCAGTTTACTGCGATAAATTGTCCAGTCTGTGGAGACTGCTACACTGTCGATTGCTCCTCGCCGTGGTGCCCACGGCAATGGCTAGCACGCACACCAACTTGAACTCACAGTCACAGACATTCGAGCTTTTTCGGCTTGAGGTCATGTCATGGAAGGGCTGGCGTACGCCTGACTTCGTCACAATCAACAAATGGCTTCTCGTTATCCTATGTGATTATGGATACTAGTAGGATAGCACGGCGGACATGAATCTGAAAAGCACTAAGCAAGTCTGGAAGGACATGCCGCATCATCGCTGCTCCGTCCTTGTCCCCTACTCGCATCATTTCATATTATGTCCTCATTTCTGAAATCTCAAGTCCGCAAAAGCGATGGTGCTCTTATCCAGGTTATGCTGCACCCACCGTCCCTGGAACCACGTCTGCCCGATCTGCCACTGCGGCTCGTCCAACGTCGACGTCCCCAGCACGTTCGCAGTGCACACCTTTCCATCTGCCGTCCGGTTCAGCACATTGGCATTCGCATCCACGTAATGTACTCTACAGAAGGGAATCCATCTCCTCCGCGAGCCACATCGTCCGGAAGTCGGCGGGAGCGAGTGCGCCGCTGGGCGTCTTGCCAGACTTCTTCAGACACCTCTCCAGCTGCAAACCTCACTACCCGGACGATCTCCGCGACGCTCCGCCGGAAGAGGTTCCATGCATGCGGCGATCAGGAGACATGTGCCGCATATTCCGGCTGAGTGTCGACGTGTTGTCTTCCAGACGCGATCAAAGTGCGGGGCAGGCGGGTGGCGTCCATGGCGACCTGGTGGGCCTCGTCACCGGGCTCTAAAAGGGCGGCAAAGGGCGAGATATAGCAGTGTGGAAGATCAACGAGGGGAAGGCGAAGGGCGAGGGTCTGGACGAGTTGGAGGTACGTGCCCCCAACTATGAAGACGCTCACCTACACGCGCGGTCCATTTGCTGCGAGTCATGCAGTACGCAGGAGGTGAGAGCGATGAGGTCCGGATAGAGCCGATGACGGTGGCTCTGATTGGCGTACAACGCGATATGTCACGGTCACGTCTCTCCAACCCTCGTCTGTGCCCTTCAACATCGGCCCACACGTCCAGGGTAGATTGAATAAACCCTGCCCCCTCAATTCGTTGCCGTAATGGGTCTTATGGGAATCCCGAGCGTCCAGCCGGACTGGCGATCTGCCCATACAGGCCCTCAACACAGCCTAATGTCGCCTTCCATGACGAGACGCGGAGAAGCTCTTCCTATGGTGGCGCGAGACAGGACGCGAGATTGGTTGGCTCGGTGAGTAGTCCTGCCGCATCTGTCCTCTGTGCACAGCTGACTTGTAGAGTCTATATATGCGTCCCTTCGCCAGCATCCTGGGTGAGTGACATGCTCTCCTTGCTTATGCCGGACGTTGGGGACTCGAACCAGGGCGTTCCTCTTCGCTTACTTCCCGAATGCTCATGTACCATAACCGGTACGTGGCGGAGCGAACGCTTTCTTCATATAGGTGCGCTATGCGAGGTCGCCCTCTCGGTGCATACTGACAGGATCGGTACATTTTCCCTTTCTTGACGAGTGTCCTATGTGAGTCTTCGGTCGGATTACCTGATAGGGAAGTCGAATCCCCGCCGCGTTGACACAGCGCGGAGGTGGCCACCGGGATGAAGTATGGTTGGTTGTGGATACAACTCGGACACCTACTTTGGACGAGCGCAACACATCCTGCACCTCTATGGTGATCTGACCGTCCCGTTTTCGTCCCCTCGCGAAGGTGCACGAATTTTGATAGTGAACATAGCGCAGTCAATCGCAGCACACTCAGCATCGCTGACACATGGTGAGCGGTGTGCGTGCAGGCCAACATCGAAGAGACGGAGTCTTTTAACATACGACGCCCCACGCGGGTGATGCGGCCACATTGTTACTAGCACATCTGCATCGTCCCCTCTTTCATTTCCTCCCCGTCTTACTTTCTGCCCCCCACGTAGTAGCGTGGTGCCGCACGACATGCGATTGTATTCGTATGTCTCTACGCTTTGGGTTCGGCTGCCCTCCAGGAACACTCGTGCGTTACGGTTGGAGAGACGGCAGATGCCACAAGGATGCTCGGCCGGGCGACGGATGAATGACTGCCTCGGGGCACGTTAGCTGCGGTTTCTTGGCGAATCCGTCAGAACGCGTCTGGGCTTGCCTGAGGCTTATCGTAGGACGTTACAGTGGGACGTTCTAGGACAGATGGATTACATCGGTCAATCACGCAACTGCGGACATCGCGTATGCCATACAATAGAGGGACGGTACCAGAATCAGGCGAATGTGATACATCGAGAGCACCAAATGCTATATGCGCGGCCCAGCTGCATGGTACGAGAATATATGGGACCTTTCGTATGAAAGAGACGATGTCGACGGAAAGTGTATGATAGACGAGATACAAGGTAGCGTCTGCGCCGTTGCAGTACCTGTACAAGTGCTTGAATATGAGGGCAAAATTTGAGATCCGGACTGGATGGCACACCGTACGCACTACGGACTCAGTGCCCTTCGGGGTGTTCACCTATTGCGCTTGACTCGGGCTACGGTTATCAATAGGAAATAAAAGCCGTTAACATATGGACAGCTCGAGTGTCAAGCAATGACGGCGTACCTTCGTGTCCAGCGGGGAAGCCTGCACTTTCACTTCCTCGGCTTGCACACCTAGTCGTAGAAACTTGCATCTCTCCATGCTGCGCTTCAACTTCTTCAACGCTTCCTGTACATCGTCATCATACCAAGAATAGGACAAGGTGGCGCCCTCGACATATTTGACTAATTCCCCTACAGCGTTGAGAAAGTCACCAGAGGCGCCTCTCCGAACATCCTCAGACTCGCACAGATATGTCAGGATGATGTCTAGAGTCTCCAGTATGGCCCCGATGGCGAATGAGGACCACAGCTGTCCAGCAATCTTTGAGATCGACCCCTTATGGAGAAAGTTCATCCCGAATATGCATGCCATCGACGCCTTGGTCTCCTCTTGCGACCGCGTCCATGACGAGACCGGCGCAAAACAGCACCGCACCAGTATCCACAGCCACCGGAAGACGACATGCCAGTCGGGCTCTTGAGATGGTTCGCCATCCGATGGATGTAGTAGCTGACGCAACCGCATCTCAGCCACAGCCACAACTACGATTTTGCGAGTCAGCTGAGGAGTATTTGAGTGGGACATCCGCTCACGCACCGGGACGGACCAACTTCCATGGAATGACCTCGAGATTGGCCGGATCGTATCTTAGTATGTCCTCCCAAAGCCGCAGCGTCAATTCATCACAGAGAGACCTGTCCCAAGGGACGTAAATGCCAAATATGCACGCCATCGACGCCTTGGTCTCCTCTTGCGACCGTGTCCACGACGGGACCGGTGCAAAACAGCACCGCACCAGTATCCCCATCGACCGGAAGACGACGTGCGAGTCACGCTCTGGAGCTGGTTCTCCATCCGAGGGGTGTAGCAGCTGACGCAGCTGTAATTCCGTTGCTGCTGCGACTGAGATCGTGCGAATCAGTTGAGGAATCGTTGAGTGGGAACTCTGCTCACGCACCGTGACGGACCGCCTTCCATGGCATGAGCTCAAGAGCGGCTGGATTGAACGTGAACAATTCGTTCAAAAGCAATAGCGACCAGCTGTGCGCGGCGGACCCTGAGTCGGGGTTTGCCACTGTAGCAGCCAAAGCGAGGAGCAATCTTTCGTGATGTCCAGACTTCATGTTGTCACGGTACAAATTACTATAACCGTAGAGGCGTCTGGTCAACGCATCGGAAGCTTTCTTGCGCGACGCATGGATCAACACGCCAGCCCAAAAGTTGGGAGAACGTATTGCGACAACACCTTTGCCAAAGTGTCGCTCACTGATGTCCTCAATCTCGTCGAAGCATTGGGCAATGTTGTCGACATCTTTGTCTGCGAGAATCGCTCCTGCGGCGTCGGAGAGGTGCTTGACATCCATTGTGGTGGAGTAGGCCTCGATGATCATGTCGACGTCGAGTTTGGAGGAGGACTCCTGAATATCGGTTCGCTCTCGGCCACGCCATGTAGGAACTGTCACTGGATCCCAATCCTGGTGACAAGCCCAATCGCTGAGGTGGCTGCACCACGAACGAATGATGCCGGGTAGGCGCTCAGAGCGACTGAGATGTCCGCAATGATGATACAGTGCCCTGAACACCCCTCGAAGCGAGGTGACGAGGAAATGGATCCGATGCACAACACGGAATATAGCGTACGTCGGAGGGGAGAGATAGCAGCAGTCCCGCCAGAATACCGGCATAACAGTCGTGACCATTGCAAACGACAACAGGACGCCGATGAGCGTACTGGTGATGGTGGCGACCGTGGGATGTAGGTGCCAGAGAAGAACGAGTAGACCGGTCAAGAAGAGCGCGAGCGAGACCTGAAGTAAGACCGGGAGAATTGCGATGATCTCCGCAACGCGCCACTTCGCAAGGTGATTCAGCCGGTATTGCCGCAGCCGTGCGATCTCCAGCGAGGTCCCCGAGATGCCAGCCTCGTACTCGTGCAACCATTGCTTCACTAAGATGCCGACTGACGCAGACGCGAGACTGCAGATGAGCGCCGAGAACCACAGGCTGTTCAGCCACACAGCCCACGTCTCGACCAGGGCCATCGGGATGGGGGCGAAGGAGGTGATAGGATGGGTGGAGTTGACAAGTGTACCTGGGGGGTTAACAGAGAAGCTGTTCAACTGGAGGGAGATCTGCTGCAGTACGGCAAGGGTGGGGTCCGGAGTACTGGATTGGAGGAGGATGTACGACTGGACATTAAATGCAGTCAGGATAGCCGAGAACAGACCCGCCTGGTGCGGTGTTTGATATCAATGATTCATAAGATCAAGTACGGTATGTAACGTACGTAGACGAGAAGAGTGTCGATCTCCTCCTTCCACCGCTTCACCATCTCGTCGCTGTATTGTTTGACGACCTCGGCCGTTTTCTCCAGCGCGCTATCCTTCTCGGCTTGGGTATAGGTCTCGCTGAACTCCTTCCTCAGATCCTGTACCAACATAAGTCTCACCGTGCCTTTCTACTGGGTAAGTGGACTTTCGACACACCTCGACGGAAGGGAGTTTCCAAGGAAAGGGTGTGGTACTCACGTAGCCGCCGTCTGGGGCATTCTATAACGGGTGTCAACCAGTCAGTGAAGGCACCGCCAATGACGCTGTGACTATACGTACTTGTCCTTCCACATCCCCGGGCTGTGGAGTAGCGGAAGGACTGTCAGATGCTATTGGAGAACTACTGCGCTCTTGACCCTGTTCCGGCGTAGGCTGCGAGTCCGCGTTTATCTCCTGCAGCTCAGTATTGATTGAGGGCATTTGATAGTGCTTAGAGCGCATTCAGGGCTGGTAATTTCTCTACATGATCAAGGCGGCCATAGCATGCTCACCTGCTGTCGTTGCAGTGGTAAAAGTGAGAGAGGAGAGAAGTTGGGTGCAACGGGAAGCTGTCAGCGGTCGTCCACCTCCCGGTAGACGCGTCTAGCAGGTTGGCAGTGTAGGAGCTCCGCCCAAACCCTATTCCCAAGGACAATCTCGGGAGACCGGCATGCATGGCCTGAGCTGGGATCATGAAGAACTTGGTAATAGAAGCGACTTGTCTGACAGCTGCACCGCACTGTAAGCGCGCAGCGTCACCCTCAGGTGATCTCACGAGTAACGCAATTTGGGCTCTCCGAGTCAGGCAAACCCGTTCTAGTCCTTGAATGCGTCGCGCTCACTCCCATCCCTGTATTCACTAGGATCCGCGTTCCCAGCGCGCGACAAACGGCGAACCTGCCACAATTCAACGCAGTGTACCAGCCTCCCAAAGGTACCAGCTTTCCGGTGAACGCATAAATCCGTAACGCCCCGTCTCTCAGGCTATCGGCGTACACTTTGCACAGCTGGTCCTCTCCGATGATGGGTCATCAAAGCCTCCGTGTCTACCGTGACTCCCTCATTTTCTCGTGGGTAAGTGGCGGTCCACGATCGTCATCAGGTTCTGCACATGTTCTTCCAGCACGTGTATAACGGAGAGAGACGATTTTTATGTACCTCTTCCTCAGCCACGATAATGCGATATAACTCCTCCCCTTCAGCCCAAGGAGCTAGTCGTTGTCGTTTAATGCGCATGCCGTCGCTGTTCCGCGTCATCGAGCGCAGAGCTAATGAGCGCGCTCGTCCTCGAGAACACCAGTAGCCTCTTGTGCTACCATGCTATCGGTGGTCTGGTCCACAGGAGAGCTGGCTCTCGCATAAGGATCGAAAGCGCCTTGTCCGGAGAAGGTCCCTGGGGGTGCTGCGGTCAAGGGGTAAGTAGCCTCTCGATGCCTATGCGCGCACTGAGAAAAGGGCACGCTCCGCAGATCGCTGCTGGGCGAAAGCCTTTTTGGCCCGATCTGGTTCATCCTCGGTTCGTGTTCTCCTAGGATAGCAAGACGCCAGTGGCCGGGACTAGGCACGTTCTACGACAACTGCAGAATTCGCCTCCGGAGAACTATTCTAGGAACCCCGCGCTTTGGAGGAAAAGTGCACACGCACCTCCACTCAAGTCATCCGTATAAGCCGAGCGATCCTCAAGACTTGCGGCGTCGGTGTCCTGCAGATCGAACCCGCACAACCTCAAGCATCCTCCCGAGCACTCAGCAAGGAACGGCACAAACCGTTGGTTGGGGCAGAACGCCCTCAAACTAAATCCCCGCCCGCGCCTCGACAACCAGTGTGCTGGTCACAATCACCGCGCTCGCCTCGTTCTTATGCGCCGGCTTTATCGGAAGATGGCTTCCACAGCGATTATGCGCAACGTGTCCATCCGGCCGACGAGTGGCGAATGGCTGGGCGTGGTAGGTGTAGTCGGGGAAGTAGGCGCCGAGGCGGCACTATTGGGAGCGTGCGACTCGGACTGGACAGAGATGTCGATGCTGTCTTCGTCTGCGCCGCGGCGTCGGTGGGGACGAGCTTCTACAGGATGTTCATCCCAGCGGCGAGGGACCCGCAGGAGATGCCTTGGATGAGGCTCGTCGAATGCTGGTCGTCCACGGCAAAGTAGTTAGCTGGAGTTGTACACGAATTCCCGTCAAGAGATGGTGGTGCGACCGGAGGACAGGAGCCATACCTGCTCCATCTTCGTGGGCAGTAGTAGGACGTCGACAGTGACATTGAGCACCCTATCATAGTGATTCATCACGTCGATCTGTACGCGGGACCGTTATGCGAGTTCGAGACCTGTGTACGGTGACTGCGGTATCGCGCGCACCCCCTTATGGTCTTCTCACCGCATTGGCACATATTGCGGAAGGTCGACAGTACATGACTACTTACAAAGAGTGATCAGGACCGGTCGCCTCAGTTGCGCGCGTCCTTCTCCTTCTAATAGACGAATGATGGAGCGGGACGGTCCTTGGAACGTATATGAATCAGCCCGCAATCGACAGCGGCCATGACACTGAAATCAACTTCTCTTCATCGAGCGGCCTTAGAACCTGACGTTTCCTGCACTGCCCATGGAGCGCCGATTCTCCTCGCATTCGGGTATGGAGGGGAGGGGCGTGCTTCTCACTGGCTCGGGCCAAGGAAATCTCTCTCTTCCTGCGTTACAGCCGCGTCCACCGTCCCTTCGCTTCCATCCGAGAATGCTGGCGAACTGGCATGGAGAGCGCCTGGCCCTGGAGGAGATTGCTAGTACGGTCGAGAGGGAAGTAGCGTCTGCGATCGCGATCGCGGATAACGGTGCGTTCAGGATTCGACAGCGCTAGGTGAATCGGTGGTCGTGACTGGGAGACAGCATACCCAATCAATGTTCTCCCTGGTCCGGAAAGGACAGCGAGAAGAGCTTATGTTCGTGCAGGGCGAGGTCGAGCGGTCGATAGAACGAGGTTGAATGGTGTGTAAATGGGGCGGCGCCGTTGAACTACGAGTACTGATCAGCATTCTGCGTTCCCATCTCGCCGCTCTCGCCGCGCGTCCGTCTCGTTGCCCTTCGTCTGATCCGGGTCGCCACCACTGTTCTCAGCACTCACGCGCTCGTTCTCCTTCCTCTCCTTCCCTTCCGTATACACTGGAGAATCAAAGTCCTCCTCGAGCCACACCGTCCGGAGGTCGGCGAGATACAATGCGCCGTTGGGTATTTTGCCGGACTGCTTCAGACATCTCTCCAGCCTCGAGTCCGCAAATCTCAAGACCCGGACGGTCTCCGCGACGCTCCACTGGAAGTTGTTCGTGCGCGCGGCGAGCAGGAGGCGTGTGCCGCATATACACGCTAGGTGTCAAACTTTGTCATCCGGCCGCCGCGATCAAAGTGTTGGGCAGGCGGACGGCGTCCATGGCGACCTGGTGGGCCTCATTGCCGAACTCGAGAAGGGCGGCGAGGGGCGAGATGTAGTGCAAAGGATCGAGGAGGGGAAGGTGGAGGTTGAGCGTCTGGATGAGTTGGAGGTGCGTGTGGCCAAGCTCGAAGACGTTCGCGTACAGCGCGCGCCAGGGATGTGCGGGTCGACGCAACCGTTGACCAGGTTTACAGGTATAGTAAACCCGTCGACATGTCGACAAGGTGAACGGTACACTTTCGCACGCTCACGCGCCTGTCGGCGACCCAGCAACTTCGACGTTTTCACCTGTTCGTCTCAGCGCCTAATTCACCCGTCTGCTCGTCCTCCCCGCGGTCTGAGTTGTCGAACTCTCCCCACTCATCCGTTTGACATCAAACATTGCACAACAGTTTCCCAAGCATCTCTTCTATCTGAAAATAATCTCAAATCAGCGCTCCGATCCCTACAACTGTATCACCAACCCACTTTCTTCCACCTACCCTCTCACCTACTCTCGCCGCTCCCCTTTGTCAGTGCAGCAACTATGTATCATATTCCAAGTACTGCACTAGTGAATGCATCTGGCTGGTTCCCCCATGCGCCATCTATTGTCTCCGAAGTCTCTGTAGTGGGCTCTCCATCGGCATCCATGTCCAATATATTCCATACCTCGAGCTCTTCATCTAATGATGCCGTCATGTCGGAATCTTCCCTCCGTTTCTGCCAGTAATGACATGAGAAGTCGAAGAGCGATTCGAGCTTGATTTTGATAACAGAAGGAAAGATTGGGTCGTCCTCTGAATCAGTATCCTCGGACTGATGCTGCCTTACAAGGTCACCGAAGGCTCCATGTGACGCAGTACCTCGCAGGGAACCTGTACATGATGTTGAGCCTGTGATCACCATGAGATATATACAGACTCTATTACTAATCTTGCTACCTTACC